CTGGATGGCAACATGTTTTCTGACCAAACGGCTGATCACTGTGTAATGATAGCCAAGCTGTCTACCTATCGCCTTGTAGAACATACCAGCGGAATTCATGCCAATAATTTGCCATCTCTGTGCCTCTGATATCCGTCTTCTTGCCATTCTTACTTAAAATGATTTTGCATTCAGAAATTCGGGACTTAAATACGGATTTGATGCACGAGAAAATAATGCATATTGGGCGTGAAGAAGGGAGCAAGTTGCACGTGGGGAAAAAAACATTCTGGGTGGCAACATGTTTTCTGACCAAACGGCTGATCACTGTGTAATGATAGCCAAGCTGTTTACCTATCGCCTTGTAGAACATACCAGCGGAATTCATGCCAATAATTTGCCATCTCTGCGCCTCTGATATCCGTCTTCTTGCCATTCTTACTTAAAATGATTTTGCATTCAGAAATTCGGGACTTAAATACGGATTTGATGCACGAGAAAATAGTGCATATTGGGCGTGAAGAAGGGAGCAAGTTGCACATGGGGAAAAATGTGCCTGATTTAAATGTCACACCTGAACGCTCACATCCTTTTAATTATGTTTGAAATTATGAACATTGCTCAACATCATGAAAATTAAAACATTATTTTCAATAAGCAATCCTGAAAAATATTTGACGGTGCTTAACTTTTTTCCAGGTGTATAGTTATAGAAATCCTTTGTGGGTTGTTTGAAGTAATAGTAATTAAAAATATTTTCGATGCAGTTCGTTTTACATTGGTAATTTACATTAAAAGTGACAGATGTAGCTGTATTTTAAAACAGTTATGAAAGGAAATTCTTTGAATTTGCTTTATTTTAATATATACTGTTGTGTAACGAATATGACTTGAAGTCCTTCAAAGTTTTTTTTTTTTCGAAGAGCTCCAGCTCATGTTTTAAAATTTGATGATAGGCTAAGCTGTATGACAAATGCAGATCATTATCTTTCTTCTAGACGTCAGAAGAGGGCAATAAACAGAACGAATTTTGTCAGACTTTATAAAACTGAGAAAATGTTACAAATTAGGTTTTCCCTATCATGAAAACATAGTAATTTTTGGAAGAAGTTACGAAACATTATATTGATATAACTCACTATTTTGGGAATGTTTTCTTGTGTGACTATAATATTTCTTAAAATTTTACTAAAACCATAAACACTTTCATTGTTTTTGAGGTTTTATCTGCTTTGATGTGGAATTTTTCTTTTTTGAATCTCAACCCAACATTTGTCTCCGTTTTGAACAATAATATGGGTACTTATCAGTAACAATAATGATTTTTTGTTTTTAATGAGCTTATAAGTGTTTTTACATATTTTGTGTTTTTCATTTCTTTATCAATGGTCTTCACTGGATGCTTAATAGCAGCTTTCTGAATATATCTGGTTAGCTTGTTCTAAAAACTAAGATTCTTCACTATAGGGTATGCCATGTTTCTTTATATTATATTTTTTATTTAATAATATTTCGCCAAATAACTCCCTCCCTGCCTTTTTGTAAAGTAATAATAAATAAATGTACATTTATCTGTAATATGTTATTTTATCGTGTTTCGACATGTTCAAATATATACATATATGCCCTTAAGAATTGACTAATCGTATTACAGAGTTTCTCTAAACTATTTATAAAACTACCGTGACTATTGCATTTAATTTCGAGAACTACTACTGGACTTTCCTGTATATTTAACATTGAAAAATGAGCAGTTAATTTCTGTGAAACGATTTGTCCAGTTCTTTACATCGATTGTTCTGACAGACAAAAACGTAAAGTTGTTCAATATTACGCAATATGTGGATCCCATCGTCATTGAAAGGGATGTAAACAAGTCGGTAGTTTCAGGGTTAAGTAGTTCGGGCTTTTCGTATATTCACAACATAATTGTAAAAGCAACCTGTTTTTACAGTTAAGTTGGTAGGAGTGTCCAAGTGGTTAGTGTACTGGCCTATAAGTCTCCTTTACATTTTCACTGCAATAAGTATCAATAGGAACGAGTAGCACGAATGAAAAAGAAAGGATAAAGTTTGGGCTAATTTTATATTATTTAACTTGGCCATTTTAACATTAACATTGCCTGATTTCATATGTTCATTTGAACATGTTGTAGATGTCACATTTTTATATACTGATCCTTTCATTCTCACTTAGGTAATTTTTAGCTGCGGCATAGTGGCTCAAAAGTATTTTTTTTTTTCAAGTACAAAACTTTAGCTCTATCTCTTGACCGATTTTAGATATAATCATAGCTACAGCTATTGAGGATTCCTTCTTGTTTACGAAAGTATTTTGGTTACATGTAGAATATACGACATCCATATTTAATTGTATTAAGTGAATAATTAAAAATATATAGATATTGCGGTAAAACTTTTATCTTGTTGCTGAAAAGAAGGCCCCCCATGTGAAAAACAAAGAGGAATAATTATTGTTAATTAGTATTTTATTAATAAATAACAAAATTAAGAACACTGTAAATAAGACCATTTGGAATATAGAATAGTTGAACAACATCAAAATGTCAATTTTCGCTTATATAACTATAATTTCTCAGTGTATGTATCGGTGGTGTAGGTCAATAATTTTCATGCGTTAAATATTTGTAGTAAATTTACTTTTGGCATGGGCGATGTAATTATGATTTCTTCGTGTTCGAATTTATGTAACAGGCTTATTTGTCGATTTTTAATACTGTTATTTTCTAATATAAAAAAGGAAGCTCAAACCATTAATACAATATGAAGATAAATTTAACAATTGAAATAATACTGTAAACAAACTTGGATAATGTGGAAGTGCATTTAAACTAATTCTTTTCCTAGTTTCATGGATTGTTAATTTTGGCTCGCGTAATAATAGTCAACAGATTCTGTTTTTAATTATTCATTATTAAGGATATTTTATCGATATTAGGAGGCTCCAAGAAATTAATATTTTTTATGTTCACCTTTTCTCGACGAAGTAAAGAATTCCTACATATTAAATTACATATACTTACTAGAAAACAGGATCAAAGTATGGCTTATGTGACATTTTTTTTATATAATAATGACTTTTAGTGAAACTTTCCTTCATTTTATGAGAAAATGTTAATAATAAATATATAGATTGTTAAACAACGCAGTTTTTTAATATTGAATTTTTATAGTTGTTCATATTATTGGCTGTTAGTTTTCACTAATAAAGAAAATTATAATTGTAATTTGATCTGTATAAATTAGTATTCTAGTAAAATTTTGTGTTAGTTGTGTAATTTTAAAGTAATGAATTTGAAATTATTACATTTTTAATTTTCATGAAGATATTATAAAATATATAGATGGCGTTCTTTCCGTTGTGACGAGTAGTGTTCTAACGAAGAAGAAGTATATATATAATTATTAGGCGGAAGAAAATGTCGAAGTAACGATTTATATTCAGTTTTTCAGAGTAAGTTTCTTATATTAATACCAAAAAGAAAGTGAACTATAGCACTTATAGGTATGCATATCTAAAATTTTGGTCAATAATACGTAAAGTAGTAACACAAGGATTATCACATGATTTTTAGCAATTTCATTGATAATAGTAATGCTACTTCTAGCCTGATAGTTTGTAGAATTTAGGCAGTACAATTTGATATATTATCGTGTGAAACATCTAGTTCTACTATAAAGTATTTTTTCTACAAGTAATTTTATTTTGTTGCAATGGCGCCAATGTTAAGTAAATTTCTCCAGTCCAGAAAAATATCAGCATTAACAGCCTCAGCAGTTTTAGCTTGCTGGATGTGGTATTTAAAAATGAAAAGAAGACACAGGAAAGCTCAGCAAGTGGATGAAGTAGCAGTTGTATTTGAACAGAAAGATGCAAAAAAATTACGTGCTCATGTAGATGCGGAATTCTTCAGACAGCTGAGAAAAATATTAAGGATAATTGTTCCAGGATTCTTTACATCAGAATTTGGATTTTTGGTCCTTGTTGCAAGCTCTCTTGTTGGACGAACAATGTGTGACATTTGGATGATACAGAATGGAACAATAATTGAGAGAGCTATAATAAGTAAAGATAGAGAATTATTTGTTAGAAATTTGCTGTCTTTTATGTATGCAATGCCATTTATTTCCCTGATGAATAATGTTCTTAAATATGGGCTTAGTGAACTAAAATTGAGGTTTCGTACAAAACTGTCTCAACATTTGTACAATCAGTACATGCTTGGAATGACATACTATCGTATGAGTAACCTGGATACTCGTATCTCAAATCCAGATCAACTTCTTACCCAAGATGTTGAAAAGTTTTGTAGCTGCTTAACTGACTTGTATTCAAATATTAGTAAGCCTATTCTGGATATAATAATTTATATTCATCGTCTTACAGTAGCTGTTGGGGGTGAGGCTCCAACGGTTATGATGTTATATCTTGTTTTTGCTGGATTGTTGCTAACTAGACTTAGACGTCCAATGGGAAAGATGACAATGACAGAGCAGAAATTGGAGGGAGAACTACGATATGTGAATTCTAGAATTATAACAAACAGTGAAGAAATTGCATTTTATCAAGGTAACACTCGAGAAAAGACAACTTTGCAACATGCTTTTGTGAGGCTGTTTGATCATGTAAGAGATTTATTAGAATTTCAATTCTGTATGGGAGTAATTGATAATATTGTGGCCAAGTATTTTGCAACTGTTGTTGGTTACATTCTCATTAGTCGTCCATTTTTTAGTTCAAGGAGTCATGGAAGTAATAGCCCGGGAGAAAGACTTGAAGCATACTATAAAAGTGGGCGTATGCTAGTGAAATTGGCTGAGGCTATTGGAAGACTTGTGTTAGCTGGACGAGAAATGACACGACTTGCTGGTTTTACCACTCGTGTGTCACAGCTTATGAAAGTTTTAAGAGATTTGAACAAGGGCCATTATTTAAGGACAATGATTTCTGGTAGTAGCATCAAAACACAGAACACAAGTAATAATATACCTAAACTAAAAGGATATGATTTGATTCCTGGGGCTGGACGTATTATCACACAAGATAATATTATCAAGTTCGACAGAGTTCCATTAGTCACGCCCAATGGAGATGTTCTTGTTGAAGAACTTAGTTTTGAGGTATCATCAGGTGTGAATGTGTTAGTCTGTGGCCCTAATGGTTGTGGTAAAAGCTCCTTATTCAGAATTTTAGGAGAACTGTGGCCCACCTTTGGAGGAACTCTAATAAAGCCTGCCAAAGAAAAACTCTTCTACATACCACAACGTCCTTATATGACACTAGGGACTTTTAGAGACCAGATTATTTATCCAAATAGTATTAAAGACATGCAAAAAAAAGGGGTTACAGATGAAGACCTTATCTTATTTTTGGAAAAAGTACACCTCACTTATATTTTGGAAAGAGAAGGTGGGTGGGATGTCAGCAAAGACTGGATGGATATTCTCAGTGGGGGTGAGAAACAACGAGTAGCCATGGCTAGACTGTTTTATCACAAACCTCAGTTTGCCATCCTTGATGAATGCACCAGTGCTGTTAGTGTGGATGTTGAGGGATCAATGTACCAATATTGCCGTCAGGTAGGAATCACACTTTTTACAGTCTCTCACAGGAAGTCATTGTGGAAGTATCATGAGTGTTACCTTCAAATGGATGGACAAGGCAACTTTGAATTTGAGAAAATTCAAGACCATACTACAGAGTTTGGGTCTTAAAGACAAACATTGTAAATTCACTTGTAATCAAACTTGCCAAAGTTATTATTAGGCATGGTAGTATATTACAGAGTTAAAATTATATTACTCAAAACTGAGAATCAATGTCATGAATGTAATTGTTGGCAGTTAACAAGTAAGAACAACATATACCCATTTGAGTTTATATTTTATTATTAGTGTATGCAAAGTATAAACAGACAAAACTGTATGTTAAATGGTAAACTTAATCTTTGATAATTATGAACTTAACCAATGACATCTTAGAAATTATATATCTGAAGATCTTTCACATACCAAGACTACAAGTTTTTAACACATATAGCAAAACTTGGTCTGGTAGGTATGCTGCTGAATTTTTCCTAGGAGATAAATGAAAACCTATTAAATTACTTTTTAAGTATCTAGACACACGTGTAGAGTGAGAAAGAAGGGTATATCTGAAAGATGAAATCCCCCCCTTTTTTTTGTAGGTGTAGCAAGTATTACTAAAATTGAAATTGTATAAATGGGGTTAGTAATTTTTATTTCACAGCCTGCTCATTTTAGTTCTTGTAAAAGATTATCATATTTGAATATACAATTTAGAGGATAAATCCTCATTGTTAAGTGTTTCAGGTATTACTTAAAAGTGCACAACACATTTTCTTTTAATTAAACTGAAGTATATATTATTGTAATAGATGAAATTTCATACAGTGTAGTATGTATGTTGTGGTAAAGTTTCCATCAAATTCGTTACATAATTCCATATCCAATGGTACTGGTATACTTAACATATGTGTGGTAAAGTTGATTATGTAACATATTGTGGTGGTTGTGCAGTTTGTAGTCATTTTGGGCTCTGGTGTAATTATATTAATGAATTTTGGTTATTGAGTTATATTGAAACATAAATACAATGTGCACTTTTATACTTTTGTTTTAGGATGGTGTAATTTAGTTTTAGTTTGTGACCCATGTTAAATAAGAAATCAGAAAATGGTATTATCTCAAGAGTTTGATAAAGAAGGAACTCAGTATTTCACTGAGTTAACTTGATATTTTTTGGTGTAAGTTTTAACAATTAAATTTTAAGAGTATCATTCCATTTTCTGATTTCTAGTTTAAGTAAGTCTCAAGATACCTCGGTTACTATACGTAGAATTTTCCATGCTAAATTAATAATTGTTCATTTTCTTTAGATGAGGAAAAAATGAAATTAGAAAACCTAGCTTTAAACAAAACACAAGAATCTTCTGTTTTTCAATTAAAAATGTTGATTTTTTTTGGTTAAAATATTTGCAGGCTCTCAAAGAAAAAAAATGAGAGGAAAGACTTGCCAATTAAAATTCTGGATAATTTTCATCAAACATACCCTTGCAAATACAGCTTTTATTCTTAATATTTCCTGTATTTTTGCAACAGTTTGTTTCACTATAGTATTTAAATTACTCTTATTAAATTAATAATATGCTAATTCTTTTGTGATGAAAAATAAAACTACAGGTTTTTATAGAAAACTATTTTAACCTAAGTTGTTCTGTATTTTGTTTTTCATTGGGGCAAAATTTAATTTTGTTAGTTTTCTTAGCCATCAGTTGCGTAATATTTGTTAGGTAAAGTGAAAAAGATGTTTTTAGTTTCACAAATAAATTCTTTTTGTTGTAAGTTTAATATATAAAAAAGGGGATAAATACTTAAGTTGAAAAGGTTGTTTAGTAATCAAAACTTGTTAATTTTAAATTATCTCGTTTTGTCTGCCTGTGATTTGAATTAGTTGCTAGTATATCAGTGACCAGTGTTGTAACTTTGGTTTCAATAAAAATTGCTCTTTGAAGAGTTTAAATATTTTTTCGAAGGTTTGTTTTCTCTTTTCTCATCATACCGCTCTATTAGTAGTCTTACAGCCTTGTAACTTTTATGTAAGTAAATAGAGGTATTGTAGACAGTGAGTAAATAAAATTTGTTTATCCATTTTCTTTGGTAGACAACATTCTTGTATTATTTTTTTTTATAAAAGTTGAGAATAATTATTTAACTTCGTTAAGATTGGACACAGAATTAGGTTTTACTACTGAAGTCTTAATTGTGACATAAGACTTGATACTAGATCATTAAGACTAACATACTTTAGTGTTATTCCAAGGTAGTAGGTTTTAAAATGCTAATAGTTATTATATATAAATAATGAGGAATTATCACCTAGCTAAGTAAGATGGATAATTTATTCTCAGAGTTCAAATTATCATTTTTATTAATTGGTAGCTACAAATAATAATAGTAATTCTTATATTATCATACATAAATTAATAGGGGACTACCATTCAGAAGTTTATTGCATGTTCTGTGTTACTCATTTTCAGTTCAGTAATTGAGAAATTAAACGGTATTTTCTTATTGTTTTAACCCACTTGCATGTCTTGTTCCCTCAATATACTGGTATCCCTTTCTCTTGTAAATAAAATTAAAAATATTTATTGAGATGCAAAAAAAGTAATGATAAAACTGAAAAACTTCATGAAAGCCTAAGAGAAAAGATAAGATTTATGGTCATTAACTTGTAACTTAGATATTTTTAAAACTCGTTAAAAACTTTGACATGTCTACATCAGACTAAGTATATGCATAAACTAGAACTTAAAATTATTTAAAAAAGAGGAATTCAAGCCAGCACTTAAATGTTTGAAGTGGTATGTATGTACTTAACAACATCAGGTCATAGTTTGTTGCAAAGCGACACAGACAAATAGAGCCTTATCAGAAGACAACTAGTTGGCTTTTATATACATTGGATACATTATATTGGTATAAGTTGGATAAAATGTGTTAAAATGAAATCTTCAACCATATGGTCTTAAAACCGAACAATATAGGTCAGTCTCTTTTTATGATTGAGAGGTTAAAGGTTTCATTTTTACGCATTTTTGTTTATTAAACACATATTAAATTGATATTGCAACATCTTATGGTTCTGAACTGAAGTTGCTACTGAAACAAGTATTGCTCCCCTCAGTAGCACAGCGATATGTTTGCGGACTAGTGCTGTTAAAATCCGGGTTTCGATACCCGTGATGGGCAGTGCACAGATAGCCCTTTGTTTAACTTTGTGCTTAATAACAAACAACAACAGAAACAATTATTACAAAGCATCATATCTCCGCTTTTTCTGGTGAAGTGATGTAAAAACCATTCCTATCAAGAATAAGTTTAAGCCTTTCTATAATATGTAACATGTGTGTGTATATATCTTTTTGATTTTTTCTTTGAGTTGTGATTAGTGCTCCACATTTGCTTTTAGTGGGCCTATCGTGTTTGGCAAGAAATAGTCTTGAGAGAAATGAGATTTTTTGAGCAAAGTTGATGCACGAATTTTGTTACAAATTTGCAGAGTTTTGTTAGAACTTATTTCATCCTTTTTAAGATGGATATTTTAATAATAAATCAATGTTTGTTTTGCTTGTAAAATATTCAAATACAAAAATCATTAGGGAATCGCAGAAACTTTTATTACATTTGGAAAATAATTGAAGACAAAGTTGTCGTCAATGAAAATTTAACAGATGTAGGAGTCGATGATTTGAGGAAGGTATCACCTACCAGAACAAATCAGAATCTTTTACATGACAAAGATTGTCTGTACGGTGCTACTGTTGATAATGGCCATGTCATTCACACATTCTGTGATAAAACTTGTGCAGCAAGTGCAAAGGAAGATGGCTTTGAAAAAACATTTATGGCAATTTTCTATAAATATAATATATACTTAAAGCAAAAGAATGAGATTCAATCAAACCTAACTCTTGACTAATGGACAGACATTTTCACAGACAAGTTAACATTTATCAACCCATACTGTATCGTAGTATTTAAATATAACAGGGTTAAAAAAAGCAAGCAAAATAAGAACAATTCTTGTTATTCCTGGGGTAAAGCGGAATGTAAATTTGATGGATGCTTCAAATAATGTAATATTTATTAGGTATTTGTAGCAGAATGAGTTGTTAAACCTATATAAATATAATACTCTCTGTATGTAACTACTTCGCAGGGTGTGGATGGATCTTCACCAGAATTTGTATGGAGGCTCATTAGGTCCACTGGGGTACATACAAATTTTCAGTTTGCGGTTTTTATGGGCGTTTTTTTTGCCAATACTTTGCCCCCCCTCCCCTGTAATGGATCTTCTCCGAATTTGGTATGGAGGTTCATTGAGTCCATGCGGAGATATATGCAAGTGTGGGATTTCACATTTTGTGTTTTGCCGTTTTTATGGGCGTTTTTGCGTTGTTTATAATTACATATAAGGGAAGCAACTTTTCATTAATCATGAAGTTAGATAACTTCCGTCCAAGCGACGGGTGCTCCAGCTAGTATTGTAATAAAATGTATGTTTGATATTAATAAAGACTAGTAAACATCAGTATCATTAGAGGTAGTTCAGGTATAGTGTGCGATAGGTGCCAGGAATTCGTTATGCTTGAAAATTGTAGGATTAAGCGACCTGTAACAGTGCTTAAGTGTCTGTAAGCTTACTTAACTTTTTTTTTCAGTTGCAGGAATTTATGTCATTTAGAATGAACCCCTATTAATTATGAATCGGTGGTTAAAATCTACATCAATATTAAAACGGAAAACTAGTGTTAACATAGATGAAGGTGCAACATGTTCAAATGAAAAAAAAAACACCGACTCATCAATCAAAACACAAAAATCGTAAATATTGTGATGAATATATATTCTTTGGATTTATATGCACAGGTTCTGAACATGAACAAAAACCACAGTGTGTTCTCTGTTATGAAACATTATCCATTAAAAGTTTGAAGCTAGCCAAACTTCGCCGGCATATAAAAGCAAAACATAAAGAACACATCAACAACCTGCCGAATATTTTCATAGGAGACAACTAGAAGTACGTGCAAGACATAAACCAATAGAAAAAATAGCAACTGGCTGTGATAATGGAAATGTTGTGTTTGCTGCGTATGAAGTGTGCGTATTAATAGCAAAGACTGGAAAATCACATACAGTAGCAGAGGAACTAATTCTACCTGCTGCTAAAGCAATTACATCTAGCAAAAAAGTATATTATTCTTTGCAATTAGTTGAAAGTACAGATGTTTCTAACAGTGCTGATTTGCTTGAATTCATACAGTATGAATCCGATGATAAAATTAGTGAAGATTTTCTATTCTGCCAGTCATTGCCAACACATACTACTGGTGAGGGTATTTTTAATAGTTTGAATGATTTCAAAATTGCAAATCATATTGGGTGATCAAAATGTGTAGGAGTCAGTACTGATGGGGCTCCTGGTATGTTAGGAAAGTACAATGGATTCATCGCAAATATTGGAGCTATCATATCAAATGCCAAATAGACTCATTGCTGCATACATAAAGAACCATTGGCAACAAGAAAGATGCCAGGAAAATTGAAGACTACGCTGGATGAGGCAATGAAAGTGGTTAATTTTATTAAAGTTCAACCTTTAAATTCACGTATTTTTAATGTTCTTTGTGAAGAGATGGGTAGTACACACGAAGAATTGTTCTCACAATCTCAAGTACGTTGGCTGTCTCGCGGAAAGTACTTGCCCTCTTATTTGAGTTGCGTGAGGAAAATAATATTTCTCCGTAATAAAACATTTTAAGGAAGCGAGCGTTTCAGTGATTCTTCGTGGCTAGATATGGTGGCATACTTGTCTGATATTTTTACATATTTGATTGGCCTAAATTCGAGCATACAAAGGAGAGCTGTGACTGTTTTTAAAGTGGAAGCTATGATTATGAAATTAGACTTGTGGTTAGAACATGGTGTGTTTGAACACTTCCAACACTCAATGATTTTCTTACAGTGTCCGATGATGACCTCTAAAGAAATAAGAAACCTTATCATTCAGCACTTGTAGAGTTTGAAGAACAGCCTTGGTGATTATTTTCCTCTTCCTGATGCCAATAACAAGTGGGTTAGGGATCAATTTAATGTAAATATAAAAAGTGTAAAATATTTAACTGCAAGTAAATAAAATACCCTTGTTGAACTTTCATGTGACACCTCGTTGAAGTCAAATTTCATTAAATACAACGTTTCAGACTTTTGGTTGCATGTGAGAAAACAAAAGAGTACACTGAACTGGTATCCAAAACACTGAAGTAGTTAATGCCGTTCCCAACTACATATTTATGTGAGCAGGATTTCTCCCAACTGTTTTGTATGAAATCAAAATACAGAAACATTCGCCCACCTAGAACAAGAACATATATAAGATATATAACTCCGAAGGATAATTAATAATAGATGCTTACATTCGCCCACCCAGAGTAAGAACAGTAAAAAACATTGATTCTAAGTTTAGATATATAACTCAGAACGACAATGAATAATAGATGCTTACATTCGCCCACCCAGAGCAACAACATTAAAAAAACATTGATTCTAAGTTCAGATATATAATTCGGAACGACAATGAATAATACATACTTACATTTGCCCACCCAGAGAAAGAACGTTAAACTAAGAAATATTGATTCTAAGTTGAGATATATAACTCGGAACGTTTGTAGGACAGAAGGTCTAAAGAGTGTGTATTCAACTATTGTTTTATTTTGTTGCAGCTTTAGAGAAAGGTTTGAAAAGAGTTTTTTTCCGTTCTGTAGTTCAGCAATAGGCTTGAGAGCATATAATACTAAAAGTAAGTTCTCGCTACACGTGGTAGGCAAAGCTCCTAAAAACAAGGGTTTCTGTAAATTAATTATGGGTTCTTCAGAGAAATTTTTACTCTCCTTTGTGCGATGTTCACACAACAAACGCTCTTTATTGGTAACTTTTATTACAATATCTCCACAGAACCGATAA